AAAAAAAAAATCAGGGACAGCATTTTAACTACAGCAGTAATAATACTGCAGGCTACAGTGGTCCCCTTTCCTGGTAAAACACTGATGCTTTTTTATGAATTCAAGGAGAAAGAAGGAAATGCCAATAAAAGCCCTGGATAGTTGAAAGAGAAGAAAACGGTGGGACCGTCTGCGGTGTATATGCTAAAGCCACAGACAGATTTTTCTCTCTCCCAAGTGCTGAGCGAAAATTCTAAGTGGCAGTTTCTGGAGAGGCTTTCAGCCTCCATGCAAAGAGAAAGAAGAAACCAAGATACAAATGGGAAGGAGTATTGTGCCGTGGGTTAGGTTTCTGTACACTCAGCCCCTCTCATCCGAGCAAGCATGTGCTTGCAGACTTGAATCCACAGGTGAGCAGTACTGGGTCAATACATGACACCATTTTCCCCTGACACTGTCCCAACCCTCCCCTTCCTCACATGCCACCTGTCACAATCAAGCTCCCATTTCCTAACTCTTAGCACACAAGAAAGTATGTTTTGATCTTACAAAAAGCAAAAGCTCCTGGGTACTTAGTTCTGGAATCAGGCTGTGAGGGTGAGGTCTTTAGGGAACAGGGGAAGGGGGATTTGCCATCATCCAAGCCCCAAGAGGGACTGCAGCTGGACAAAGGTCTGCATAGAAGTGCTTAACACTGGGCTGACAAACTCCAGCTTGGAACGGCTCATGGAAGCAGACCTGAGTCTATGGGACAGGACTGCCCCACAACAAAGCACCATTGAGCACATGGTAGATTTCTTGTCCACAAAGCTGGGGGTTTTATCAGCACATAGACCTCTCCAAATATTAGCTAGTTTTTCATTTGCATACAACATTTTGGGTGAACCAGGGAGACAAAGCCACTTCTTTTTGGTCCCAATAAATCCTTTTAAGCAGGGCAAAATAGGCTCCCAAATGGATTATTTCCACATGTCCTCACTATGGGTAAGAAGTTGGCAGTTTTTGAACAGAATTCTTGGGACTACATAAGCCACAAGGACAACCTGGCTGTGGTCTCACAAATATTTGTCCACTGCTAGTTTTTTTTTTTAAAGGGTGGCTCATTCTCAAGGTGCCAGCAAAGGCGAGTGGAGTGAAGCAGCCACAAGCAGAATGATCTGGTACAGTGCTGAAGAGTTGGACAAATCGGTCATTTACAAAGGCAAAATGGTTTTCGCCATCTCAGATCTGCTGCTTATTTGGGGAGTTTATAGCTTATGAACTACTTGAGGTTCTCTTGCTTTGTATTTGGCCAGGTCAGCTTTTGTTGATTTTTTTAAAGACATGCTTGCCAGAAGCCATTGGTTCCCTGACTATTCTTCCCCATCAAGAGGAGGTTCCTCTCCCTACTGATCCCTGATTTTTTCCAAGGAGGCTGGGGAAGACATCTGTTTATATTTTCCCTTCATAGGTTCCTTCTGAGTCGTCTCCCTGCCCTCCCTTGGTGGTGGAACTGTGCATCATACAGTCTCATCTTGAAGGCAGCTCCATGAC